CTGAAAGCCACTGTAAGCGGTGAACAATCAATCAAGAACTGAAATGATTTATCAAATCTTTCCAATGATTGCTAAGATAGAATCCATCTTCTCGGTTGAAATTGTCTCTGTGCTTGTATATGTGGATATGCCTCATGAACGAATCTCTCATGGAAGCCAGATGGCTTACAAAGAACCTCCGTCTTGGAAAAGTCAATGGCATGTGAGCCTACTGAATTAGAACAATGATCTGCTACGGCCGAGGTGTTGGTCCTACCGTGTTTAAGATCTGCTTTATGTTCACGAATGCGGTCCGAGATATGGCGTTTGGTTTCTCCAATGTAACTACTACCACAGAGGCAACTTAGTTTGTAGACACCAGGGTATTGTATGTCCGGAATCACATCTTTTACAGACGGAACCAGATCACGGATTTTATGTAATGTGTTGAAACGGACCTGGATCTTGTGTTTATTCAAGATTTTGGAGATCTTTTTTGTGATCCCAGCAATGTAGGGTAAAGTGATGGTTTTGAAAGGCTCCTCAAGAGGGTTCTTCTTCATGGTTTGAGTGATAGCTTTGCGGATTGTATAGTCGGAGTAACCATTAGCCCTAAGAGCTTGGTGTACGTGCTTGAGTTCACTGCTTATGTGTTCCTGGTCGGATATGCATTGGGCTCTATGATACAGAGTCTTGATGAGAGAATTCTTCTGTGATGGATGGTGGTGGGAATCCGGTTTCAGATAAGCATCCGTATGGGTAGCTTTCCTGTAGACAGAGTGGCTCATTGAACCATCAGGTCTCTTTTTAATTAGGACATCCAAAAGAGACCTGATGGTTCAATGAGCCACTCTGTCTACAGGAAAGCTACCCATACGGATGCTTATCTGAAACCGGATTCCCACCACCATCCATCACAGAAGAATTCTCTCATCAAGACTCTGTATCATAGAGCCCAATGCATATCCGACCAGGAACACATAAGCAGTGAACTCAAGCACGTACACCAAGCTCTTAGGGCTAATGGTTACTCCGACTATACAATCCGCAAAGCTATCACTCAAACCATGAAGAAGAACCCTCTTGAGGAGCCTTTCAAAACCATCACTTTACCCTACATTGCTGGGATCACAAAAAAGATCTCCAAAATCTTGAATAAACACAAGATCCAGGTCCGTTTCAACACATTACATAAAATCCGTGATCTGGTTCCGTCTGTAAAAGATGTGATTCCGGACATACAATACCCTGGTGTCTACAAACTAAGTTGCCTCTGTGGTAGTAGTTACATTGGAGAAACCAAACGCCATATCTCGGACCGCATTCGTGAACATAAAGCAGACCTTAAACACGGTAGGACCAACACCTCGGCCGTAGCAGATCATTGTTCTAATTCAGTAGGCTCACATGCCATTGACTTTTCCAAGACGGAGGTTCTTTGTAAGCCATCTGGCTTCCATGAGAGATTCGTTCATGAGGCTATCCACATATACAAGCACAGAGACAATTTCAACCGAGAAGATGGATTCTATCTTAGCAATCATTGGAAAGATTTGATAAATCATTTCAGTTCTTGATTGATTGTTCACGCTTACAGTGGCTTTCAGACAGCATACATAAAAACAAATTTCGTCTCCCCCCTCCTCTTTTCAAAAAATAGATGGACTAGTCCTGGGCAAACTGCCAATCGTTGCGCGTGACGCAAACGTTATTTTTTTATATATAAATAAATAAAAAATATGCCGTTTTCAAAATAAATTTATGCAAACCGACACACCTGATGATGACCGTTTGAGTTATGGTCGAAACGTCGTGAGAATTTTTTATTGTTTTATATATATTTTGTTATTTTGTTGTTTCTCTTCAACGTGACTTTACTGAAAAAACTAAGAATAAATAAGTATAAAGTTGAGCAGTGTGGCGAGTAGTGTGGTGAGAAGGTCGCACTGATTACACACAAAGTACTTGGCACAACCAGTGACGGTCTGGGACTAAAGAAATCTCCCCAGGCATTTGTAAAACACACCGGGCAATGGACAATTCTTATTCTGTTTTTATTTTAAATGGGGTTGTGCGACGAACTGTACACGAGCTACATACAGTAAGGTGAGTACAAGTACAGTAGCGAGATGTTGCCATGTGACGCGGTGACTGTTTGTGAAGTTCTGATAGTGGTGGTGATAGTGGTGTAAAGGAGAGCTGACGCATGGTTGCAGGGGGTTCGTCCTTCATTGCTACCCCCAGTCCACACTCGTCCCCAGCCTTCTCCATCCATTTCCTGCCAGTTCTTCTCCCTTTTCTGCCAGTTTTCTCTCATGTCTCCTCACCCGCTCCTCCCCCTTCTCCCGCTCCACTGTCCCCCTCCTTTTGGCGGGAATCCTTCCCCTGACATTCCTTACATCACCCCCCCGGGAAGAAAAAAAACCCGTCCTCGGTTCTGCCTACGCCATCGACCATTTCAGTCTCCCCATGAGCCCCCCACCCCCATTTATAGTGACAACAACCCTTAACCCCTTAGCAACCATACAATTCAATATAACAACATCAATTGAATGGTCTTCCCGGGTCTCCAGCCAGTGCTCCGTAACAGCCCGGGGCATCCACGGGCCGCAGATGAGCGCGGCGGCTCCCTCCGTCAGAGCCCTTCTCACCGCGGCCCCCGGTTCGGTGGCGCCGGTGGCGCCTCGCCCCGTGCTGCCGTCCCTCCAGCCGCCGCGACCCCCGGTCGCACCGCCTCTCCATCAGGTCTCACACGGGGCGCTGTAGGTTACGAGGGAACACAGGGCACCGAACCCCTCACAGGTCGGCGAGTGGTGGCCAGCGACCTCGGCCAGGGCAGGGGTGATGATGATGGCGGTGACGATGCAGAGGATGGTGGAGGCAATAGGGGCGGAGAGATGTACGGCTGAAGGCGTGTGGTGTGCACAGTCCATCGCCGCTTACCCAATTGGACCTGGACGCACTGCGGTCGGAGTGCTTTGACCGGCCCTTTCCACAGTGGGTGCAGTTTCGGTGACAGGCCGACCGGCACCTGAGGACAGTGTAGCCATGCCTGGTCCCCGACTTTACAGGGCTTGGCTGTCGCTGTCCTCTCCCATATCCGTACATTTCTCCCTTGGCTGTCGGCTGATGTGGCCTCGGCTGCCTGGCGGGCCTCCCTCAAATAAATAAGGGAGGCCTTCAGTGCCTTTGGCCATGCGTCGGCTCTCGTGGGAATGTACGTCAGCTGCATCTCAATAGGTGGGATGGGATCTCGTCCGTACATCAGGAAAAACGTCGAGAACCCCTAAGCTGCGTGCGGGGTCACCCTGTACACCGCTAAGACCGAAGGGATGTGGAGGTCCCAATCAGAGTGGTTCTCGTCCACCACTTGGGACAGCATGGTCGCTATGGTGGTTAAGCCGCTGCACCATCCCATCGATCTGGGGATGATATGGAGATGTTCGGACCTTTTTAGTGCCCAGGATAGAGCAGACGTCCTTGGTAAGAGGGCACCGCTCCGGTGGCCCCCTTGTCAAGAACATAGCCCCCCACGAAGGCATCAGCAATGTTCTATGCCATCTGGTCCGGGAGAGCCCAGGCCATCGGCCACCTCGTGCAGTACTCGAATCCAACCAACAAGTATTTATTTCCCCATGGCGTGACCGGCAGCGGTCCCAAGATGTCCAACGCGACCAATTCGTTGACCCTGGTCACCGTGATGGGCTTCAGAGGCACCCGGGTTACCCGGGGTGGTGGCTTCCACCGCACGCATCCAATGCAGGTTGGACCTCACCCTGTGCACCAACTGCCATGTTTACGGTATCGATGACCGTTCCCTCCGGCATCACCTCCTTGCAGCGTGCCGTGCCTGCAGTGCATGGACAAGGGCCCTGGGGCGCAAGCCGGGGCAATGCTTCCGCGTTGGCGTGTCTTGTCCCCTGGTGCTTCTGATCGGGTGGCAAATCCGGCTTGGGTCCCACCAACTGGTCCATCCACGAGTCGTCCCCTCTGTCCTCGGACTGGCTGATGCTTCCCACGAGCTCTGGCCCCATCCCAGGGACTCCGAGTGACAAGGGACTAACGTGGGCCAGAACCATTCCCACCTGCACCACTGCTCCTCTGTTCGAGGTGTTCAGCACTTGAATGAATAGATGCTGGTTCCCCTGGACAATAGTCTCGGCCCCCACTTGTGCATGGCGATCCGTGGTGGCTGGCGCCGGAGACACCTGGATGGGTGAGTCCGGCCAGGCTGTCACGAGGGAGGACCGATATCGCAGCAGTATCAGTATCTGGGCTGCCGGGGGAATGGAGACAGACTCACTGACCAGAGCCTGCACTCAGGGTACCACTCGGCCGGCACCGTCCCTCCACGCATTCAGGAAATGGAGATGTGTTCCCTGTATTTTCCTCAGAAAGTCCCGTCCACAATAGGCAGGTCACGGGCAGCATTGCGGAGACAAGGATGGGTCCAGCTACCGAAAGCTGCCCAATCTGTATCGGGGCTTGAACCTGGCACAGGAAGCCCAAACTCCCTGCGATTTTTATCCAGCAGCATCTCGTCCACGGTGCTCGAGATGATTGTGGCCAGTGCCCCGTGTCAACCAGGATGCGTGCCGACACTCCCACGATTGCACGGACCAGGACCGAGGTTCCTGACGTGGCCGCTCCTACCCGCCTTCCCAGCTTCTTCCATCGTGTTGCTGAGTCCGGCTACTGACCAGGCTCGCTATCCCGCGGTGTATGGCGAGGTGACGGGGGATGGATCTGAACCGGCCCGAAGAAGTTGTTCCCCCCTCTCTGGGGTGTGTCACAGCATGGTGAATGCGCCCTTGTCACAAGGGGTGGGCTCCCCACTGGGGTGCGGCCTGGATTCCCCATGTAGTGAGAGGTGGCCCCCCATTGTGACGTAGAATGGGCCCCCCCTGTGGTGTTGGGCAGCCCCCCCATTGCATTGGGGGGTGGGGGTTGGGGGGTGGGCCTTTCCGTGAGACCTCCCCCCTCCCTCCTCCCCCTCCTTTGTTGTGGGTGCGCCCTTTGTGATGTGCCTCTCCCGGCCCCGTCTCACTCCGCCGCATTGCGGGGGCGAGGCGGTGCACGAGACAGCTCCGCGGCGCACCGGCGGTTGCCTGTGCTGCTTCAGCCCCGGGGCCATTGGCCCTGGCAACCCGCCGGCGTTGCTAAGTAACCCGCGATGTCACCCCACGTGGTGACGTCACTTCCGACCGTGACGTCACTTCTGAGCGTGACGCCGCTTCCCACCACGGAATCACGTCCCGTCGCGACTCACTCCCCGGCCCCGTCGCGATCCCCGGCCCCGTCACGATCCCCGGCCCCATCGCGATCCCCTTCACTCGACCAGGATGGTGACGCCAACCCCGAGGAGGCCACCGGCGGCGAGTTCGCAGTGTTGGGGGTGTGGATTGCCGACCCAGCCGACCGGCCCGACGCTCGCGGAATGGCGTCACTCGCGTGGTTCTTGTAGGCTGCCTCCGGCACCTTCTTGCCACGTGCCCCTGTCGACCGCAACTGTGGAAGACCCACTGGGCGCGCTGTCGGGGTGGCTCGGCACGGTGTTGTAGAGGCGGCGCCCAGCGGCACCGCGGCTGGTCATGCCCCTGGCCTCTCTGCTCCGTCAGCCCCCGGATCACCGTGTAGACCTCCCACAGCGATGGCTCCGGCTCAGCTGCTGGAGGCCCACTCTGAGCTGCTACGTAGACAGCACGTAGCGACGGTACAGGCCTGGTGATTGGCGTAGCTGGCCCTGATAGCGCCGCGGTAACAGCCCGGCCGCTCCCCCCTGCCACGCCGGCCACCTGGCCCACTGGTTACGCCCGGCCCGTGACCTGTTCATGGGCTTTTAGGATCCGGGCGGCCCTTACGTTCGTCCAGCATCACCACCGGCATTACAACGCCGGCGTGGAAAGTGACAGCCGACAAGGTGCTCAACCACGAGGTTCTTGAGCGCCTCATTGGCCAGGCGAGGGAAAGACCTCCTCGCCAACACGAGCAGCGCACCCCTGTAGGCTAAAGGGGACTCTCCAGCCTCACGCTGGCGGTCCTGAAACCGTCTAAAGGTGCCCACAGCTGTTGAGTAGATCTCCCCCAAAGCCTCCTAGGCCGCCTGTGGCGTGGTGTTGGATATATGCCTTTTCCAAAATTGAGATTAACAATAATATTTGCCGTTATATATATCATATATTTTTTTAATAATAAAGAAAAATAATGCATAAAACACACAAACCCAAAAACACGCAAACACAGATGGAAATCGTAAAAAACAATGAATGTATAGAATAATAAACTCCAAGAGAGGGCAGAGAGGTTATCTACAAAATCTCCATACTGCCACGGAAGGACAGTGAAAAAGGGGTATCTGTTTTCTCTCACTCAAGGGTTGGAGAGAGAAAGAGATCCTGGCCGCCTTTGTCTCTCCCCACAGCACGAGAAAAGAATTTAACACCCTAGTGAGGAATGGCTTGTTACAAAGAGGGTCGCCCCTCCGCCCCCCAGGATCGTATAACGCAGATGGCTTGTGGAATGCCACACACACGCACGTACACACACACAGGCCACGCCCCCCCCCCTTTCACTGCGCAGAGCGGATAATTTTTTTGAATATAACGGTCCAACCATCTTTTCAAAAGTTCAGTCAAGACAGATCAACAGTTCAAGAAGTTCGACAAGACACGAGCAGTCGCAGCGAACAGCTGGCTCCAAGGAGCGCGAGCCTCGCTGAGTAGCGAGGATCGCTGAGTCGCGATGTATCAACGAAAGTGAGTTCAGGGAAAGAAAGGCAAAGAAAAAACTCGAAACTGTATTCCTACATAAGTGCCAGCCATCCAGCAGCGGAAAAGCTTGGCCAGCACCAACAAACAAAAGAGTCAACGAACCAGCGGCCAAGCGTCGTGTCGACTCAGCTATTACAGCAGTGAAGAAGCCTGCTGCTGCCAACGAATCAGCTGAGAGCGCTCGGGCATCTCAACAGAGAGAGCGCGTGCGACTTGGCTCATCCAGCAGTGGAAAGAGCCTGACCAGCAAGAGTGTTAGAGCCAGCGCGCGCCACTGCGCATCACTGTTCGGGCCACCAGCGCCACCACTGCGCACCACTTCAGAGCGCGCCACCAGCGCCAGCGTGCGCTACAGCGCACCACTGCGCGCCACTTCGCGCCACTGTTCGCGCCACGAGCCACTTCGCGCCACCGTGCGCTGAGAGCGTTCGAGCAGCACCAGGAGAGGGCAGCGTGCCCGCACTCAACACCCATCGGCCGACGGCGAGCGTCGTGCCGACTCTTCCAGCCAGCTGTGGACAGAAACTGTGGCAGCCGCGTTCGTATGCCCCCCCCCCCTCTCTCACACTCTCACCCTCACACCCCCCACCACTCTGCCGGGAACAAACACATTTTTGATACAAGGGATGCCCAACCTTGGCGTCTGCTTTACGCAAAGCATTGATGCCACGAGATCAACAACGCTCACGCATTAACACATACAAGAAGACTCATGATAAGTGCGTCAACTATTAGCTGATAAAGGAAAACATTGTTGCCATCAAGTTACATGAATACGGTCACTGAGAAATATTTTAGTCGGTCGTCTTTAATAGCATAATCTTGTTTATGGATCTAGGAATGAACGCGGTACTGTGTGTGCAAATTCCAGTATAATCATTTATAATAGAGTGTTAAGGTTTTGTTTAGAATAGCGAATGCATATGTTTAGCTTCTCTCTCTCTCTCACCAACAACACTCGCGATACGTGGGGGAAATTAATCAAAGTGAAACCACGCAGTCGTGATGGTTACCGTGTTAATGCTGTGTTGAAATTTCGAGATTGAGAGTTCTCATATTATCCAAAATTAAAGTTTATCTAGAGAATAAAATTGATTAATGCAGAAGCAACTGTCTGATTCTTTCCGTGATTCTGCATAAGAATTGTTCTGCGATTGAGACTGAAGCCTGGTGGACCTATCATAAGCACACTACCACACATAATCAATAAATGTTAAAGCGAGAATAATCGTATCCTTATTGATAATACGGAGAAAAACAACGAAGCCGCGTTGACTCTGGCATTCACGCTCACAACACCTGCATAACTGCATATGATCAATTGTCTTATTCTGATTGGATACGACCCTAAATATCATGACGACTTGCATTATCATACTCACACACACTCGCATAAATTAATACGAGTATCTCTCGAATTACCATAATTAATACGCGTAATTACACACATTATGCAAATTAAAAATTTCATTTGATTTTCATTATTTTCATTAAATTTTCATAACCTACATATACAACAGTGGTCTTGCTGCGCACGGAAGGGAGGTGTAAGAGGCGAGCGCATCGTCGTCCAGAACGGATGGCAGCGCTCGTAGCGCATCTTCGTCCGACCGGTCGAGAGCGTGGACGGCAGTCTCGAATCGGCGGACGAACGCCTCCCAATCGCCTCCCTCGGCCACGAATTTCTCGACGGGCCCCAGCCGACGTGCCCGTCCTGCCACCTGCTCCCCCCATTGGGTGTTCAGCCCTGGCAGCCTTGGTGGGAGAGGCGGCGGCTGTCTCGAATGTAGTTCTACCTGATGACGGTTGCTTGTGTTGCAATCGAAACGTCGTACTCTATGATTTGATTTGTTTTATTTCTCCGAGATTATACCGAAAGAACCAAAGAGCAAGACATGGACGGGACGCGGCATGGGAGGATGTGGAGCTGGGTGGACTTGCCGACGAGTGGTACCAGCGATGTCAAGATCGGCCTCTGTGGAGGAGGCTATGCATGTGTGTTGAACTTCTTTCACACCGTACCTAGTCAACCGTGCTATGCATGTGTTGAACTTCTTTCACACCGTACCTTGTCAACCGTGCTATGCATGTGTGCTGAACTTCTTTCACACCGTACCTAGTCAACCGTGCTATGCATGTGTGTTGAATTTCTTTCGAGCAGTACCGAGCCAACCATATTATGTATGTGTTGAATTTATTTCGCACCGTACCTAGCCAACCGTGCTATGTTGAACTTCTTTCACACCGTACCTAGCCAACCGTGCTATGTTGAGCTTCTTTCGCACCGTACCTAGTCAACCGTGCACTCCCAGAAGTTCGTGTAGATTGTCGAATAACGGTGGAGGGACTCGATGTTGTGTGTGAGCGATGTTGTGTGTGAGCGATGTTGTGTGTGAGCGATGTTGTGTGTGAGCGATGTTGTGTGAGCGATGTTGTGTGTGAGCGATGTTGTGTGTGAGCGGGCGAGAGAGATCGAGAGAGACGAAGGGTAGAGAGAAGGAGGTAGAGAGAGAGGGGGTAGAGAGGGGGGGGGGGTGGTAGAGAGAGAGGGGGGTAGAGAGAGGGGGTAGAGAGAGAGGGGGTAGAGAGAGTGGGGGGAGAGAGAGTGAGGGGGTAGAGAGAGGGGGGGTAGAGAGAGGAGGTAGAGAGAGAGGGGGTAGAGAGGGGGGTAGAGAGAGGGGGGGTAGAGAGAGAGGGGGGTAGAGAAAGAGGGGGTAGAGAGAGGGGGGGTAGAGAGAGAGGGGGGTAGAGAGAGTGAGGGGGTAGAGAGAGAGGGGGTAGAGAGAGAGGGGGTAGAGAGAGGGGGGTGGAGAGAGAGGGGGTAGAGAGAGAGGGGGTAGAGAGAGAGGGGATAGAGAGGGGGGGTAGAGTGGGGGTAGAGAGAGTGAGGGGGTAGAGAGAGGGGGGGTAGAGAGAGGGGGGTAGAGAGAGGGGGGGTAGAGAGAGGGAGGTAGAGAGAGGGGGGGGGGGGTAGAGAGAGAGAGGGGGTAGAGAGAGGGGGGGAAGAGAGAGAGGGGGGGTAGAGAGAGAGGGGGTAGAGAGAGGGGGGGTAGAGAGAGCAGGGGGGGTAGAGAGAGTGGGGGGTAGAGAGAGAGGGGGGGTAGAGAGAGGGGGGGTAGAGAGAGGGGGGTAGAGAAAGAGGGGGTAGAGAGAGGGGGGTAGAGAGAGAGGGGGGTAGAGAGAGTGAGGGGGTAGAGAGAGAGGGGGTAGAGAGAGAGGGGGTAGAGAGAGAGGGGGTAGAGAGAGAGGGGGTAGAGAGAGAGGGGATAGAGAGAGTGGGGGTAGAGAGAGTGAGGGGGTAGAGAGAGGGGGGGGTAGAGAGAGGGGGGTAGAGAGAGGGGGGGTAGAGAGAGGGGGGTAGAGAGAGGGGGGGTAGAGAGAGAGAGGGGGTAGAGAGAGGGGGGGGGAAGAGAGAGAGGGGGGTAGAGAGAGAGGGGGTAGAGAGAGGGGGGGTAGAGAGAGCAGGGGGGGTAGAGAGAGTGGGGGTAAAGAGAGAGGGGGGGTAGAGAGAGGGGGGGTAGAGAGAGGGGGGTAGAGAGAGGGGGGGGTAGAGAGAGAGGGGTAGAGAGAGGGGGGTAGAGAGAGAGGGGGTAGAGAGAGGGGGGGTAGAGAGAGGGGGGGGGTAGAGAGAGGGGGGTAGAGAGAGGGGGGTAGAGAGAGGGGGGTAGAGAGAGGGGGGGGGTAGAGAGAGTGAGGGGGTAGAGAGAGAGGGGGTAGAGAGGGGGGTGGGTAGAGATAGAGGGGGGAAGCGGTAAGAAGGAGGAGAGCAGAGCGTGAAATCTTCCGTGAAATCTTTCATTTAAAAGTGGGGGGGGGGGGAGGGGTTAACATAAAGCATTGAAAAAAACGAAATGGTGAACGAAGCAAAGTGCCGACTACACCGAGCATCTTCTTGTTTCTGTAGTGGGTTCCAGTGACACGGAGACTGTAGAGTAGAGGCAGCACTTATTTACTTATAACAAGGGGTCACACTGAAGGGGTAGCGCCCCCTTCACCCGAATACACTTAGGAATATCCCCCTAGGCTATCTAGCCTAAGCATATGTTCCCCGATTCCTCCAGCTAAGGGCTCTAGGGGAGGCTGTCTGATCTGGCCCTGGTTAAGCTCCGATCACGGCACCCCACCAACCAGACCGGCCCTTAGAAGGACGTCGGCTCTGTGGCTCCTGGGGCCGTACCGCTGGCTTGCCCTGCCGATCCTGAGAAGGACAGCAGTCAGGGGAGTCCCAGGGTTCTACTTAGCTGGTCTTCCTTCTTCCCTGGTACTTCATTCTTGGTCCCAACACTCTGCCCCGAGCTTCCTCACTCCCCACCCTTTATACCCATAACCCACTGGGCGGGGCTGTAGAAGCGGACGTCATTGTAGCCACCTAGGATCACACCAAGGTTCGGCTGTACCTCTGTATCACACAACACCCCTACATCACCACCTCCCGTACGGCTCGCAGCTGTCCCGGCTGTAACAACATCAACAATAAAAATATAACAAAACCCCAACTGTGCATGCCTCATAATAACAAACACCCCAACAATAACCAAACCCGCCTGTACAAAATTTCCCTATGTACAATATGTACATACTTCCCCCCCCCCTTCCCCCCCCGCATTCAACCTGAGCCACCCGTCCGTGCAGAAAAGGAAGAACATAACAAGTGCAACAAGAAGTCACAACAACCGGCACGTTTTAGCACGAGTCCGTTTTGCGGCCCATCGTCGGGGGGGAACCCGGCCGTGCCGGTGGTGGGCGCTGTCCGTGCGGGTGCACAACCCCCTGACGTCTCGAGAGGGCAGCCCTAATCCCCGCCGGGTGGCGCAAGCGGCCCGGAGGTCGTCATCCTCGGGGCACCTGAAGATGGCACAGTTAGTGGTACATCAGGGCCAGGCGGCGGAGTTGCCGTCCCGGGGTCAGCGGACACATCGCATGCTCGGCCTGTGTGGTGTAGTGGAGGGGCACGAGGTGTCGCAACCGGCTTAAGCCGCGAGGGGTGGACGTACCAGCGGCGTTTTCCCCACTGAATGCGGATACATTGTGGCCGCATGACCTGTACAATTTCCACTGGACCCCTCCATGGCCGCAACAATTTTGCCGAGGTTGCCAATGGCACTTGAGGGCAGTGCAACCAAGCCTTGTCCCCGGGCTTCCACGCATGGGTGTGTGACTTGTGCAACCGCAACCGTAAAGTTGGCCTTCTGACGAGAATGACAGTTTTGGGCGGCTGCCTCCCGCGCTTCGGTCAACCTCCGGATGTTAAATTTGATGTGGTCGGCCAATTTTTATTTCTCGTTTGGTTCGGAGACCCGCAACTGAGTTGTAATAGGCGGGTCATCATCGCGACCATACATCAGGAAGAACGGCGAGAAACCGGTCGCCGCGTGAGGAGCCATCCTGTAGGCCGCCAAAACACCCAGGATCTGAAGGTCCCAATCGGTCTGGGAGTCACACACTTGGTGACACAACATAGACGTGAGGGTCCTGTGCAGGCGTTCTACCATACCATCAGTTTGCGGGTGATAGCGAGAAGTTTGAATTTTCTTTGTACCCAGAAGCGCACACACCTCGTGCAGAAGGACATCAGAGAAATTCTTCCCTTGGTCAGTCAGCAACCGTTCGGGAGCACCTTTGTCGAGGGCGTAGCCCTGGATAAAGGCCTCGGCGACGGCCGCTGCTGACTGGTTGGAGAGGGGCCATGCCATAGGCCAGCGTGTAAAGTATTCCACGCCAACCAGCAGGTACTTGTTACCCCTAGGGGTCGTAGGGAAGGGCCCCAATATGTCAAGTGCAACGAGTTCATTAACCCGAGAGACTGTAATTGACTATCGGTGGACGGGCGGCTCTCGCTGGTGGTTTCCGTTGGGCGCATGGAGTGCATGCACCCAGGAGGTCATCCACGTTCCTAGCCATACCCGGCCAGAGAAAGTCCAGCTGGAGCATGGCAAGGGTCTTATGGGTCCCCAAGTGCAAAAGCCGCTCGTGAGCAGCCCACACGGCCTTACACCGTAGAGCAAAAGGCACCACCAGCCTGTGTCGGCGGGCGTTCCCGTCCCAATGCAGCAGGAGCCCCTGGCGCAATCCGAACGAGTCAACGCCCGTCACTCCCTTCAAGGAATCCCCCGCACGACGACGCAACGTGATCAGGGATGCGTCCTCCATCTGGAGGCGCCCCCATTCTGTAATGGACAACCCCAGCAAGGAGTCCTTACCCCACTGCTCGATAGGACCCACCAACAAGGGGTCCTCGGTGGTGGCAGCAAGGACTGCAGCGTCAGACACGGTGCCATCATCTAGCAGCTTGCAACGCCCCGAACCCGTGAGGCAAGCGCAATCGGAGGCGGGTGGCAGACGACATAGGGCATCCGCATTAGCGTGTCGAACACCCTTCCGATACGTGGTAGTAAAATCAAAGTCCTGAAGGACCTCGAGCCATCGGGACAATTGCCCCGAGGGCTGGTCTACCCGCAAGGCGTATTGTAATTCCGCATGGTCTGTACGGACGGTGAAATGCCGCCCGTACAGATATGGCCGATACTGTTGTATGAAGTATACAATGGCCAACAGCTCCCGACGCGTGACACAATATCTCTGCTCCGCCGGGGACAGGACCCTACTGCCATAAGCCACCACGCGCTCTACACCATCGATGACCTGCGAGAGCACACCCCCGATACCCGTATTGCTGGCGTCAGTATCGAGCAGGAAGGGTTTGGAAAAATCGGGGTAGCTTAATGGTGAAGTCTGCACGAGAGCGTCGCGAAGGGAACGGAAAGCGATCTCCTCGGCCTGGCCCCAACAAAACCTCGCTGCCTTTGCCGTCAGGGCATGCAAAGGTTTGGCAACGGTAGCAAAGTTCGCAACGAACCGCCGATAATAGGATGCGAAACCAACAAAACTCCTGACCTCAGCCACCGAGGTGGGGGTCGGCCAGGAGCTGACGCACTGCGTCTTCGTGGGATCGGTAGAAATGCCCGATCGGCTGACGATGTGTCCTATATACCGCACGGATTCCCGGAGCAGGTGGCATTTTTGCGGCTTGAATTTCAAATTTGCAGCACGCATTTTGAGGAACATGGCGCGCAATCGCAACAGGTGTTCGTCAAATGTTTTGCTGAACACGATGACATCGTCCAGATAGATGAGACAAACGTCCCATTGCAAGCCAGCCAAAACCAGTTCCATAAGGCGTTGAAACGTCGCCGGAGCGGAATGTAAACCCATGGGTAACCGATCAAATTGAAATAGGCCTTGAGGTGTACGAAAGGCAGTCTTCGGTCTGGACTCATCAACCAATGGGAGTTGCCAAAATCCGGATAACAAGTCCAGCGTGGAAAAAAACGTGTGCCTGCCAAAGCATCCAGGGAATCGTCCATCCGGGGAAGTGGATACGCATCGGCCACAGAGATTTTATTTAGGCGCCGAAAATCTACACAGAATCGCAAGGACCCATCGTGCTTTTTGACAAGCACTATGGGTGCTCCCCATGGGCTGGTGGACGGAGATATGATATCTGCGGCCAACATGTCATCTACAGCCAATTTGACATGATCCTTTTCAGCGGGACTCAACCGAAAAGGATTTTGGCATATCGGGGCATTGTCACCCGTGTCGAAATGATGTCGCAATAATTTGGTGCATCCGATATCATACTTATGTTTGCTAAAGACATCGGCAAATTCGATCAGAAGGGTGCGTAAGTCGGCGCGCTGGGAGTCGGAGAGATCACTTGTTTCGGAACATAGCGCATCCGCCCAACCCTCGTCCTCAACGGGACGTGGGTAAGTCGGAAGACCCCTCCCCATTTGCCCCACAACCGTTTCTACTACGGGTACCGGCGTCGCGTGTGCAAGCACGGTGCCTTGGTTAACTACGGCCGTCTGCGCTCCGACGTTAAGGACCATGATGAATGGTTCATCGCTCCCCTTAACGATCGTTTGGCACGGCCACCAAATCCAATCCGTTCTCCCCTAGCCCTCGAGGGCCCCAACACGGACACCGTGATCCGTCACACCCGGAGCGAAAGGTCGACGCAACCGGAGAGGCACGAGCATTTGCGCGCCCGGTGGTACCCTGCACTATACGGGTGACGACTGCCTGTACCGTTGTGCATGCCGCCCGTGAGGTGACGGGGGAGGACAGGAATTGTACACGTCGGCCCGAAGGGAGCTCGATGCACCCCTGATCAATTCATATTTTAATCGGCATTTTGGCCAAAAAGTCTGTCCCCAACAAGCACGGAACCGCTAGCGAGGAAGAAACTAATATTGGCCCAGACAATTTTATATCCCCAATGCAAATTTGTGCTCGGATTTGGCCTATGATACCCAACGAACCCCCGTTTGCTGCATAACATGGAACATCAACTGGCAGCAAGGGACGGCTCTGCACAGGAAGGATATTATAGATCAAATCCGAGACAATAGTCGCCGACGCACCCGTATCGACGAGGACCCAGCACCTCAACCCCGTCTATACACCCCTGCGACCGCGGACGTACCTGCCGACGCAGCAACAACACGGTGGGCCAATTTGGTCCGACTGGCTCAGGCCCTAGCGCCCTCTCGACCCCGCCGCAACCCGACGAACCCACGATCAAACCCCGGGGTTTGTGCACTGGAGCGCTCGAGGTAGGGATATGTGTGTGTACAGGCCGAGCATGTGTGGTACCGCGACTTGCCGGAGTTAGATGCGGGGGTGGGTAGGCTGGAGCACCTGTGGTCCAGGCCGTCGCTGTCGCGGTGCCCGGCATCCCGCAGCCACGTGGCCCCTGAGGCCACAGTTGTAACAGGTGATGAGCACACCCGATGCTTTAGGTTGCTCCTGGCGGCCCGATGATGGTGCGCTATCCGCTGCACGACCACTCCCCACGTGTATAGAGGCCATGACGTGGTCTTGTGGTATTGCGTTCGCCGCTTGTTTCAGAGGTTCGCGGTTTGATTCCAGCAGTCGCTGTGATCAACCCGTTCCGAGACGTCTGCACGTTACAGGGTAGGTGTCCCGTGCACCGCCGAATCTCCGAACGTGCGAGCAACTCGGCGTTCATTTTATTTGGAGAGAGCATCGCGGCCATTTGTTTCTAAAGACATTGTACTCACCGCAGAGAACGGTAGCGACACGACCGCTCTCTACGATTGCCGGCGCCAAACCGTGCCACACGCACCTCCCCCGCATGGCCTTGTGGGAGCCTCGGAATGTCTCCCGACCTGAAGACCGGAAGGCATACCGTTGAAGTTATTCATCTTCGTTTAACACGCACCTCACCGGAATGGAATCGAAAGAAGAACCGATGGCATACAGGCACGTCCTCTGAATGGGAGGGGGTTAATTCTGCGTGAGTATTAAGCGTTACAATAAAATGACGCACCGCCTGCCCTACAGCGGACGGTGAAGATCCCGTGACGTCATTCGCAAGAGCAGGCCTGTGTGCCGGCGTCACGGTCTAAATTAATTCAAAAGAATGTAAAAGTATACTCAAGTTGTGATTGCACGTTGCGAACATCGCCCCCCCCTCCCCACCCACTGTGAAAACTTGGGCAGGACCCTCCTGAAAATGAGTCGTGGGACACCCGGTGAGGCCTTCCTGGTTACCCAAGCGCAGTACAACTAAACCTGCGTGATCCTGCGTCCACGGGGGGCAATGAAGGGTGCCTGTTAATGAAGTATATTAGACTTATGCTTCACCAAATTTTACAAGTGCATTGAAACACTTTTCAGTAAAGAAACGAATGTGACAATTTTTTTTTTTACGATGACAGAAGAAATAATAACAAGATGCCCTTTTTACAAAGGTACTCACCAGTCGGTTGTAGAGTATTCTTTAAGTTCAATATACAGAAGCAGTGGGGCAGTTTAGGGTACAGTGTACAGTAGTACATTACTGTATGTACTGTACTACTGCCATGCCGAAGAGACAACGGCGCAAGGCCCATATCAAGAGGCCCGTCCCCCAGGAGGCTGCGACCAACATATCATGTCCAGTGTGCCATAGGAGTGTTCCTGGGCTCAGGTTGGCCTTTTCAGTCACCTGCCTTCTCACCGTGCCCCAGACTCATCCCAATGCAGTGTGCCAGTGGTCATCATCGACCTTTGATGTACGAACGAACTGCATGCACAGACTGCCGCTGGCACCACCACTCGGCAGTATCCCGAAGCTCCCGTGGAAATAAAAAGAAACGGACCTACGATAAGCGCACGAGCAAGATGCCGGATGGCTGCCGGAATGTTTCCGGATACGTGAAGGAAGATTCGTCTTGCAGACTATGACAGACGCCAGGTAATAGGGCATTCCGGATGGTAAAATGCCAGATTGCAGAGCTTTGGCTGTATGTATTATTTAAGCAGATTCATATGCCATTCGGCCTGTGTTCTCACAGTCAGGGTGTTTACTTGAGTAATTTTAAGTGTACACAGTCCGGGGGTCACTCATTCTGTCCATTGTAATCACTGGAACCTATTGGGATTGAATTTGGAGGATCAAGGTGGCTTCAGGCTGGGGCGGTCCTGCACAAATACCATAATCCCGACTACTTTGCATCCCTCATCACACCCACCCCACCCCCCTCCCACCACCCCCGAACCCCAGCGCCTAAGGAGCAGCAGAAGAAGGAGGCGATGGAGCCCATGAGGATCATGAAGCCCGGACAGAGCGACGGGAACCTCAAGCCTGGGCACAAGGCCTCCACGAGCGGGCCCTCCGACGGCAAGGGTGTGTGTGCACGATGTGTGTGTGTGAGCACGCGTGTGTGTGTGTGTGAGTACGCGTGTGTGTGTGAGCACGCGTGTGTGTGTGTGAGCACGTGTGTGTGTGAGCACGCGTGTGTGTGTGAGCATGCGTGTGTGTGAGCACGCGCGCATGTGTGTGTGTGTGAGCAGGCGTGTGTGTGAGCACGCGTGTGTGTGTGTGAGCAGGCGTGTGTGTGTGAGCATGCGTGTGTGTGAGCACGCGTGTGTGTGTGAGCAGGCGTGTGTGTGAGCACGCGCGTGTGTGTGTGTGAGCACGCGCGTGTGTGTGTGTGAGCACGCGCGTGTGTGTGTGTTAGCACGCGCGTGTGTGTGTGTGAGCACGCGCGTGTGTGTGTGGAATGTTCGAACGCTCACTGCAGAGGAGAGGCTGCCACTCCTCTGTCGGGAGCTGGACCGGTACCGCCTGGATCTATGCGGCATTCAGGAGGTCCGGTGGACCGGCTCTGGCTCCTGCCACCATGAGGGGTGGACAGTCCTCTACTCGGGGCAGCAGACTGCCAAACAACAGGGTGTGGGTCTTCTTTTGAACAAAAGAATGAAGGGGGCGTGGGAGCGTGGCGGTGAGGTGTGGGAAGCTGTAAGCCCCAGGCTACTTTGGGCTCGCCTTCCCATCAACCGGAGGCGAGGAATGGTGGTCGTGGTTACTTATGCCCCCACCGAAGATGAACATCCGTGGAGGGATGCAGGCAAAGCCGATGAGTCAGATGCCTTCTATGACCTCCTGTCACAGGTGCTGGCTAAAGTGGCCCCTCGGGATAGAGTCATCATGTTGGGTGACTTCAATGCCCGAGTTGGTCATGATACTGGCACCTGGTCTGGAGTGATTGGAGGGCATGGGCCAGATCAGCTCAATAACAACGGTAGGAGGCTGCTAGATTTTTGTGCAGCCCATGGGCTTGTAATTACCAACACGCTGTTCCGGCATCGGCGCATCCACACAACATCATGGATGCATGCCGGGTCCAAGCAAGAACATCTGCTGGACTACATAGTGACGGACCAGCGAATGCGAGCCCATGTCCTTGACACCAGGACCTACCGTGGAGCTGATCTGCCCTCTGACCATCGACTAGTCATCTGTAAGATGCGCCTGCCATTCTTCCACTCCGGTGGTGGGTGTACACCCAGGACCCCATTCCAACCTAAAGTGGCCTGGTCTCAGTTATCTGATGAAAGTTGCAAGCGAGAATTTCATCATCGCTTGCGGCTGGGATTGGCATCGTCCCCGACTCCTCCTGATGTCGAGGGTAAATGGGCGAGGTTTAGGACTGTGACTCATGCAGCTGCAATGGCTGCTTTGGGTACGCGGTCCAGACCTCCCCAGACACCCTGGATGACAGAGGAGTTGTTCAGGATGGTTGAGAAAAAGCGACAGGCCCACTGTCATCGGCTACAGAATCCCACGTCAGAGAATGAGGAGGCTTACCGCAGCCTTCGCTCGGAGGTTCGGAGAGCCGTGAGGCGCTGCAAGGATGGGTGGTGGTCGCGGGTTGCTGAGGAGATGGAGTCTGCCTCAGTGGCCCGTGATCACAAATCTCTATTTAACTCCATCAAAAAAGTAACCTGCAGCGCCACACCTATTACCATCATTAGGGGAAAAAACAGTGATCCAATTTCCGACCCCCAGGAACAGGTTCGCAGATTTGCTGAGCATTTCTGTGAGGTCCTGGGGGAGGGAAAATCCCTCAGCCAGGAAAACATCGTGGCACAAAGTGAGGATGACCCTGCTGAGGCTGCGGTGCCTCAAATATTGGATGAAGTCACCCCCTGTGAGTGGCTGGCTGAGGTGCCATCTGCTGAGGAAGTATTGAAGGCGATCCGGAGTCTGAGACCAGGAAAGGCAGCGGGCAGAGATGATCTCCCAAGCGAAATGCTGAGGGAGGGTGGCGTTTGTGCACAGACTGCCCTATATGACATCATAACAACAGTCTGGACCACTGGACGGGTTCCGCAGGATTGGAAGGATGCCCTGGTGGTCCCCCTTTTTAAGAAGGGGGACCGCACAGACTGTAACAACTACAGGGGCATCTCACTCCTCAGTGTGCCGGGAAAGGTCCTGGCAAGGATTATTCAGCATCGCCTTGCCAGGCACGCTGAGGAGAGGCTTGCGGAGCCCCAATGCGGTTTCAGGAAAGGGCGGTCCTGCACAGATGCCATATTTTCTGTCCGTCTGCTACAGCAGAGGTGTAGGGAATTCCAACAAGACCTACATCTCTGCTTTATTGACCTGGTCAAGGCCTATGATACCATCAGTAGGCCTGGGCTCTGGGTCGTTCTTCGTGCTTTTGGAGTACCTGACCCTCTGCTCACGATCATTAAGGACCTTCATGATGGTGAGCGGGCCCGGGTAAAACTGCGTGGCCGGGAGTCAGAGCCATTCCCTGTACACCTTGGGGTGCGACAGGGATGTCCTCTGGCTCCCACATTATTTAACATCTATTTTGACCACGTAGTTCGTGAAGCCTTCAATAGCTGTACCGGGGGAATCTCCATATGGTACAGATATAATGGGAGGCTAATCGATGCCCGGGTGCGGTCAAGGGATGGCTCCCTATTGCTCAACCACGTTATGTATGCTGATGACTTGGTAATAGCTGCTCAGTCAGAGGAGGAGTTGGAGACGCTGCTGCTGAGACTGGAGCGTGCCACTAAGAGGTGGGGCCTTACCATCAGCCCCACCAAAACTAAGCACCTGCCTGGGTATTTTGTACCATCGGACACTCCACCCCCACAACTCCCAATCGGTGATGGGGCAGTTGTGGAGAGAGTGGAGAGTTTCCCATACCTGGGCAGTGTGCTTATGACTGGCTCCAGTTTAACAGCAGAGGTCTCACTCCGAATCAGTCGAGCGGCAATATCTTTTCATTGGTTGCGTAACGCTGTGTGGAAGCTACCTGGTCTGTCGCTCCGCACTAAGCTTCAGGTCTTCTCGGCCACGGTCATTCCCTCCCTTCTCTACGCTTGCGAAACGTGGACCCCCCTAATGGAACATCTTCGCCGGTTAGAAACATTTAGGCTGGCCTGCCTACGATCCATCCTGGGTTTAACCAGACTGGATTGTGTGAGGAGCTCACAAATCCTTGAAAGATCTGGGCAGGGTCCCATCGGTGAGCTCCTCCGGCAGGCAAGGCTGCGATGGCTGGGTCATGTAGCCCGCATGCCCAGCCACCGCATGCCGAAACAGCTTTTGTTTGGCCGGATTGAGGGGGCTAAGCGGGCGCGGCACGGGCTAGAGAAGAGATGGAGTGATGTGGTACAGGAGGACGTGGAGCTGAGTGGACTTGCCGATGACTGGTACCAGCGGTGTCAAGATCGGCCTCTGTGGAGGAGGCTCGTGAAGGATGCTACTGGGCAGTTGGAGGCAGTCGCCCTCCAACAACAACGGAGGGCGGAGGAGCGACGCTCACAACAGCGAGCGGAGCGCCGGGTGGCTAAAGCACAGCAGGTTGGCACAGTAGGGGGCACAGGTGGTGCATCAGCCAGTCATCTCAGTCAGTCGACCCGTGGCACCTGGGTCTGCCCCGTGACCTCCTGCCAGCGGGCGTTCGACACTTCACGTGGCCTCAGGGTGCACATAGCCTGGCACAAGCGTCGTGGTGACGTCACCGCCACTTAGTGGCGAATGGCGGTTGTTGTTGTTGTTGTTGCAGGCGTGTGTGTGTGAGCAGGCGTGTGTGTGTGAGCACGCGTGTGTGTTCGGGCGGGTGTGGGGGGAGTCATCTCAGTCATCTCAGTCAGTCGACCCGTGGCACCTGGGTCTGCCCCGTGACCTCCTGCCAGTTTTGGGCCTCTTCTAGGTCGATTCAGCCTCGAATGAGTACCTGGTGTGGTTTAAAAAAAATAGGCACTAGGGATTCTTTGTCTTGGTGGGATAATTTTGGTTACGGTCTGCACGCCGCTCTACAAATCCGGCGACCCGAGTTCGATTCCCACTCACACCCTCTGTCCCACGAACACCAGGCCTCTCTCACCCACTCCCTTGCCCCGTCTGTCCGCAAGTTCGGTGAGCCCGCACTTCTGAAACGCACGGCTTGGCTGCGTACGGCGCGAAAGAACTTCAGAGTACAAACAAACATGCGTCCATGCGTACATGCCCTCTCTCCCTCCGTCTCCCCCGCACTACCCCTCTGCCCCGTCTCGCGCAGGCAAGGACAAGAGGAAAGTGCCAGCGGAGGGCGCCGCGGTGCGCGTGAAAGCGCGCGCCACTCACGAGCTCTCCGTGGAGCAGCAGCTCTACTACAAGGAGATCACGGAGGCCTGCGTCGGCTCCTGCGAGTCCAAGCGAGCGGTGACGCGCGCAGCCCGATATCCATACCGCCAGATATCCACACCGCCAGATATCCACACCGCCAGATAGCCACACAGCCGGATATATACACCGCCGGATATCCACACAGCTGGATATCTACACTGCCAGAAATCCACACAGCTGGATACCCACACCACCAGATATCCACACCGCCAGATATCCACACCGCCAGATAGCCACACAGCCGGATATCTACACCGCCAGATAGCCACACAGCTGGATATCCACACCGCCGAATATCCACACCGCCAGATATCCACACAGCTGGATAGCCACACCACCAGATAGCCACACAGCCGGATATCCAAACAGCTGGATATCCACACCGCCAGATAGCCACACAGCTGGATATCTACACCGCCAGATATCCACACAGCTGGATAGCCACACCACCAGATAGCCACACAGCCGGATATCCAAACAGCTGGATATCCACACCGCCAGATAGCCACACAGCTGGATATCTACACCGCCAGATATCCACACAGCTGGATAGCCACACCACCAGATAGCCACACCGCCAGATATCCACACCGCCAGATAGCCACACAGCCGGATATCTACACCGCCGGATATCCACACAGCTGGATATCTACACTGCCAGAAATCCACACAGCTGGATACCCACACCACCAGATATCCACACCGCCAGATAGCCACACAGCCAGATATCTACACCGCCAGATAGCCACACAGCTGGATATCCACACCGCCAGATATCCACACCGCCGAATATCCACACCGCCAGATATCCACACAGCTGGATAGCCACACCACCAGATAGCCACACAGCCGGATATCCACACAGCTGGATATCCACACCGCCAGATAGCCACACAGCTGGATATCTACACCGCCAGATATCCACACAGCTGGATAGCCACACCACCAGATAGCCACACCGCCGGATATCCACACCGCCGGATATCCACACAGCTGGATAGCCACACAGCCGGTTAGCCACACAGCCGGATAGCCACACACAGCCAGATAGCCACATAGCCGGTTAGCCACACAGCCAGATAGCCACATAGCCGGTTAGCCACACAGCCAGATAGCCACACAGCCAGATATCCACACAGCCGGATAGCCACACAGCCGGTTAGCCACACAGCCAGATAGCCACACAGCCGGATATCCACACAGCCAGATAGCCACACAGCCGGATATCCACACAGCCGGATAGCCACACCGCCAGATAGCCACACAGCTGTATATCCACACAGCTGGACATCCACACAGCCGGTTAGCCACACAGCCAGTTAGCCACACAGCCGGATAGCCACACAACCAGTTAGCCACACAGCTGGATAGCCACACAGCCGGTTAACCACACAGCCGGATAGCCACACAGCTGGATAGCCACACAACCGGTTAGCCACACAACCGGTTAGCCACACAGCCGGTTAGCCACATAGCTGGATATCCGCACCGCTGGATAGCCACACAGCTGAATATCCACACAGCTGGATAACCACACAACTGGATAACCACACAACCGGATAGCCACACAGCCGGATAGCCACACAGCCGGTTAGCCACACAGCCGGTTAGCCACACAGCCGGTTAGCCACACAGCCGATTAGCCACACAGCCAGATATCCACACAGCCGGTTAGCCACACAGCCGGTTAGCCACACAGCCGGATATCCACACAGCCGGTTAGCCACACAGCCGGTTAGCCACACAGCCGGTTAGCCACACCGCCGGTTAGCCACACAGCCGGTTAGCCACACCGCCGGTTAGCCACACAGCCGGTTAGCCACACCGCCGGTTAGCCACACAGCTGGTTAGCCACACAGCCGGTTAGCCACACAGCCGGTTAGCTTGTACACGTGGCAGTTTAATTGGATTGGATGCGTTTGGTGGTTTCTGTTGACGTCGCATTGTTGCGTGTGGCCTAACCCCAGGAGATCGATCATGAACCGTGACATTGTGCTGTGAACAAAAAACGACTCCATGTAGATATTCTTGGGTTCATTCGGTAAAGTCGCGTCGATAGAAAATAAAAATGAAAACAAAAAACCCACACAAAAAAATCCACAGCGTCAGTTGCTGTGGAGATGGACTCTGCATCAGTGCCATCAAAAAAGTTACTTGCAACGCCACACCTATCTCCATCATTAGGGGAAAGAAGGGTGATCCAATCTCCGATACCCAGGAACAGATTTTAAGATTTGCTGAGCAATTCTGTGAGGTCTTCGGGGGGGTGAAATCCCTCAGCCTGGAAAACATCATGGGGTAAAGTGGGGATGACCCTGCTGACGCTGGGGTGCCTCAAATATTGGAAGAAGTATATTATTTGGGTCTTTTGGTAAAGTCACGTAGATAGGTTCAAAGAAAATGACTAAAACTACGAAGTTTCGATCGCAACACGAGCAGTCATCATCTTTGAATCTATCTACGTGACTTTACCGGAAGGCCCAAAGAATATGAATTCCTACAGTCACGAAAGCTATAAGTCAAGATTGGAAGAAGGAGTTACCGCCTGCGAGTGGCTGGCTGAGGTGCCATCTGTTAAGGAAGTACTGAAGGCGATCCCAAGTCGAGATCAGGAAAGGCACCAGGCAGGGATGATCTCCCAAGTGAAATGCTAAGGGAGGGTAGCGTTTATGCACAGACTGCCCTACATGACATCATAACAGTCTGGACCACTGGACGGGTTCCGCAGGATTGGAAGGATGCCCTGGTGGTCCTCCTTTTTAAGAAGGGGGACCGCACAGACTGTAACAACTACAGGGGCATCTCACTCCTCAGTGTGCCGGGAAAGGTCCTGACAAGGTTTTTATTCAACATCGCCTTGCCAGACACGCTGAGGAGAGGCTTGCAGAGCCATTTTCAGGAAAGGGCGGTCCTGCACAGATACCATATTGTCTGCCTGTCTGCTACAGCAGAGGTGTTGGGAATTCCAACAAGACCTACATCTCTGCTTTATTGACCTCATCAAGGCCTATGATACCATCAGTAGGCCTAGGCTCTGGGTTGTTCTTCGTGCTTTCAGAGTCCCTGACTATGCTCACAATCATTAAGGACCTACATGATGGTGAGCGGGCCCGGGTAAAACTACGTGTCTGGGAGTCAGAGCCATTCCCTGTACACCTTGGGGTGCGACAGGAATGTCCTCTGGCTCCCACATTACTTAACATCTGTTTTGACCACGTTAGTGAAGCCTTCCATGACTGTACCGGAGGAATTTCTATCTGGTACAGATACAATGGGAGGCTGATCGATACCCGGGTGCAGTCAACGGATGGCTCCCTATTGGTCAACCATGTTACGTATGCGGATGATCTGGTGATTGCTGCTCACTCAGAGGAGGAGTTGGAGGCGCTACTGCTGAACCTGGAGCTTGCCACTAAGAGGTGGGGCCTTACCATCAGGCCCACCAAAACAAAGCACCTGCCTGGGTATTTTGTACTATCAGACACTCCACCCCCACAACTCCCAATTTGTAATGGGGCAGTTGTGGAGAGAGTGGAGAGATTCCCACACCTGGGCAGTGTGCTCATGACTGGCTCCAGTTTGACAGCAGAGGTCTCACTCTCAAACAGTCGAGCGGCATTATTTTATCATCGCTGTGTGGAAGCTACCTGGTCTGTCAATCCACACGAGGCTCCAGGTCTTCTCAGCCACAGTAATTCTCTCCCTTCTTGAGGAGCTCACAAATCCTTGAAAGATCTGGACAAAGTCCCATCGGTGACCTCCTCCGGCAGGCAAAGTTGCTTTGACTGGGTCATGTAGCTCGCATGCCCAGCCACCGCATGCCTAAACAGCTTTTATTCGGCCAGATAGAAGGGGCTAAACTGGCGCTGCACGGGCTAGAGAAGAGATGGAGTGATGTGGTACAGGAGGATGTGGAGCTGAGTGGACTTGCCGATGACTGGTACCAGCGGTGTCAAGATTGGCCTCTGTGGAGGAAGCTCGTGAAGGATGCTACTGGGCAGTTGGAGGCAGTCGCCCTCCAACAACAACGGAGGGCGGAGGAGCGACGCTCACAACAATGGGCGGAGCGCTGGGCGTCTGAAGTGCAGCAGGTTGGCACAGTAGGGGGCACAGGTGGTGCATCAGCCAGTCGTCTCAGTCAGTCGACCCGTGGCACCTGGGTCTGCCCCGTGATGCCCTGCCAGCGGGCGTTCGACACTTCACGTGGCCTCAACGTGCACATAGCCTGGCACAGGCGCCGTGGTGATGTCACCGCCACTTAGTGGCAAATGGCAGTTGTTCTTGTCATGTGTGCGTGCCTCAAATGAGTACCTGGTGCGGTGTGTAAACATCGCAAATGGGGATACAAAGGCGACCCGGCGTGGCGCTGGCCACCCACCCCCTCGTGTGCCGTGTCAGCCTTCTGCGGTGCTCTGTAACAACACTCGTCCCACCATACTGTTAAGGCTATACGGTGGATCTTTGTCTGTGTTACAGGAAGCACTGCAGAGTATCGCTAGCGACCCGGGGCTGTACCAGATGCTGCCACGATTCAGCACCTTCATCTCTGAGGGAGTGAGTTCAACTCCCTTCTCCGGGCACTCGTAACACTCGGCTTCGTCATGCGGCAGCCTCAGCTGCTCCAGGCCGGAACCCAGGATCCCATTGTCTCTGACACTGCTATTTGTGCACTACCCTCCGGCTCCTGCAGGTGCGCGTGAACGTCGCTCAGAATAACCTGGCTCTGCTCATCTACCTCATGAGGATGACCAAGGCCCTGCTGGACAACCAGACCCTCTACCTGGAGAAATACGTGAGCTCCTGTGAACACCCCCCCCCTCCCCCCCACGCTGCCACTGCTTCCTCTGCTTCCTCAGTAGGAGATAGGAGAGAGCGTTGCTGGCTATGGCGGGCGTTGAATGGGGATGGGCGCAGGATGATGTTGCTTTGTGTGTCTGTGGCTCCGTGCGTCAGCCATGGTGCTGGCCACCCACCCCCCTCCGTCTGCCACAGTGCTGGTCTTCATTGGTGCTACTCGCCAACAGCACTTGCCCCAAAAGTCTGTTGAGGCTATAAAGGGGGATCTTTGTCTTTGTACGCATGTGTGTTTTGCTGCGTTTTGTGGGTGTGTGTGTGTGTGTTTGCATACTTCAACAGCCTTTGAACGGCAACACCGGGGATCTTTGTGTTTGTACGTTTGTGCATGTCTGTGCGTGTGTAGCAAAGTGTTTAGTGCGCTCCACTACGAACCCGGCAACCCAAGTTCGGTTCCTGCTCATGGCCACCAATACCGGTCACGATTATCTGAACCGATCCTAGGTCTCCCCCCGATCCTGGGTCTCCCCCCGATCCTGGGTCTCCCCCCCGGTGCGGTGTGTAGTGAACATCGCCACTAGGGAGACAAAGGCAGCTGGGCGTGGTTCTGGCCACCCACCCCCTCGTGTGCCTTGCCGGCCTCCATTGTTGCTTACAGCACTTGCCTCAATAGTCTGTTAAGGCTATATAGGGGGGGTATGACTGTATGTATGCATGTTAAACTTCTTTCGCACCGTACGTAGCCAACAGCGCTAATCAGAGGTGTATGGGAAGGGCGACAAACGAAATGCGAAAAGCCGTTAAGAAAGAAATGGAAGTTTTCAATCTAGATGATGATTTCAAAGTGCATTGCTCCCAGTGATGTTCCTAATATCGGATGGAACAGTTTTCCAGACAGCAACAGAAACGCACCTCTGAGTGCGCGTTGCCGGTGACCGTCTTTGTCCGATGATTAGCCAAAGGCCACTGCGAGGATGAGCGAAGTTCACGTGATGGTTTATGCTCCATACTCTTTGGTTCTTTCGGTAAAGTCACGTAGGTAAAAAATAAAATGAAGTTAATCAAATCACGACGTTTCGGAAGCAACACAAGCCTCCGTCATCAGGTGGGATAGTCCACAGCAAGAAGTAATTTGCTGGAGCAGACAAGAGTTGCTCGTAACAAGGATATTGTATAAGGCAAGAGAGGGGGGGGGAGCCAGGGGGGAGAGTAGAATTAAAATTTAAAATCTGGTTTATGCTCCTTGATGAGATCAGCGAGGTACTGTGGTTCATTTGTGGCGAGCACTTAGAGTGCAACGAGCGGGACCTGACAACGTATGTGGGGAGTGGTGGTCGCAGCGGTTAGTGCATTGCACTATGAACCCAGCGGCCCGAGTTTGGAAGGAAGAGCATTCCAGACGGCCGCAAAAGCGCATCTGAATCTTCAAACTATATTTTACCAGGTAAGGCCCACTGAGCTTTTTCGCTCTTTTTCAGAACAATAGCCCAATGAAGTGGCTTATCTTGTGGAAATATACCGCAGCCAAATGCTCTAAACGCACGGTGTTGATTCTCAATGTGGAGGGAAAAACCGGAGGACCCAATTTATACAGCATGTCGGCATCGAACCCACGACCTCCTGCATACCAGGTGATCCAGTTAACATCCCGCCACCGCGGCGCCCAATCTTTTGTCTTGATGTGCCCCCGTGTGCAGCTGCACGAGCTGATCCCCGCGGTGGTGACGTGCATCGTGAGCCGGCAGCTCTGCCTGCGCCCCGACGTGGACAACCACTGGGCCCTGCGCGACTTTGCCGCCCGCCTCATGGCCCAGATCTGCAAGAACTTCAGCTCCACGACGAACAACATCCAGTCCCCGCTCGACCAAGACCTTCGTGAAGGTGCTGCTTGCCTCGTTTGCTGTCGCAGTTGCGCTCCGTTGACCCGGCAGAGGCCTCGCAAAGTCTCGAGGGTTTCAGGAGGGCCCCACACTCACACTCTTGCAGTACCGGGAGAGATCATACAAACTCCACTCACTCACACCTTGTAGGACAGGGGGAGATCATACAAATGTAGTGTTGTAAGGACGAGCAGACTTCTTTAGGAGGCACACTCTGTTTATTGTATTACAACGCTTAACACACACAGAGGGATATTCGGTCCCCTCACCCGATACCCTAGGGAGGAACAGCCTCCGGACCTGGCGGGACTCACACGTCTACCGCTAACCTCCTTGATACCTAAGGAGGTACAACCTCCGGACTTGGCGGGACTCACACGTCTACCACTCTCCTAGTCCTCTGGCTAGGACCTAGGGGAGGCTATCTGACCCACCGCTGGCCCGGTGGGTCCTGACCACTGGGTATGCCGAGCCTTCGCCCTTAGAAGGGCTGAAAGGCTGGTCCAGGGTCCTAGCTAGGCTTCAGCCCAGTCTTCTATCTTCGTGCAGGGAGAGAACTCCCCGAGGTCCGTTGGGTCACCCGTCTTATACCCCTTCGTGGCCAGGTATAACCAATCATACATTCCCACGTGGAACCGTCTGATTGGTTCGCACCAAACCCTGGCCACAATCCGTTTCACCTCGACTGACCCCAACCGTTGTACCCAGGGGTAATGCTGCACTGCCCTGGTGGCAATGCAGGTTACGCAACAGCGCGTAGTTAACACCTCTACATCACCCCCTCCTTCGGAAGCTCCAGCCGTCCCGGCTGCAACAATGGGAAACTCCGAAATTACCAACGGTAGAAGAATTGTGAGTGTGCCTCACGAACAACAAGAACAAGAACAATAAAACCCCTATAAATACCCCCCTTAACAACATAACGTATGTACAAGGCACTAGACATAAAAAAAAACATTATAACAACCGGCGAAATTTCGCGCGCGTGTGTTTCGCGGGACCATCGTAGGGGATGGCAGGCTTTGTCGGCGGCACAAGGGAAGGAGGAGGATGAGCCAGAGCATCCGGTGGGCCTTTAGGCATCTCCACGGGGACACCTGCTGCTCCACGGTCCATTGAGGCCGAACATGGCCTGCATGGAGCCGTCACTCCCGCGTCATCTGCAGGAGGAATGACGCGCCTGCGCTGTGGGTTAGGCACCAACGGGGCAACATCCGGCTCGTCGGACGCGTCGCACACTCGGCCCCCGTGTCGTGTGTGTTGTGAAGGGACGCGTGGCGTGACAAAGGGTTTTAACCGAGAGGGGTGAACGCACCAGCGACGCCGTCCCCAGCTAATTTTAACACATTGGGGACGCAGGACTTCCACTACCTCAACCGGGCCTCGCCATGGTCTGAGGAGTTTGGCCGACGTGGACACAGGCACCTGGGGGCAGTGGAGCCATGCCCTGTCTCCCGGTGCCCACCGATGCGTGTACGTCCGAGGGTCCCGTAGTCGCAAATTCGCCCGTTGGCGGGAAGCCGAATTTTCAATGGCGGCCTCCCGTGCCTCGGCCAACTTACGGAGGTTGAATCGCAAGTGGTCAACGAGCTTTGACTTTTGCGGTGGCTGTTCGATTTCCAGCCGAACGTCGGCGGGAGGAAAGGCATCCCTGCCGTACATTAGAAAGAACGGGGAAAATCCCGTCGCCGCGTGAGGTGCCATACGGTATGCGGCGAGGACCCCCGGAACCTGCAAGTCCCAATTGAGGTGGGATTCATCGACCTGATGGCATAACATAGCGGTGAGAGTTCTATGAAGGCGCTCCACCATGCCGTCGGTCTGGGGATGGTAGGGCGAAGTGCGCACTTTCTTAGTGCCCAACAGGCGGCACACATCATTCAGCAAGGCTCCCGAAAAATTTCTTCCCTGATCGGTCAGCAACTGTTCTGGTGCGCCCTTGTCTAGGACGTAGCCCTGAACAAAGGCGTCCACAACGGCCGCCGCCGACTGGTTGCGGAGGGCCCAGGCCATAGGCCACCGTGTAAAATACTCTACCCCAACCAGAAGGTACTTATTACCCCGTGGCGTAGTAGGAAAAGGGCCCAAAATATCGAGAGCCACCAACTCATTTATACGAGAGACCGAAATGGGTTGCAGGGGTGGACATGCCAGTTTAGCCGGCGGTTTACGTTGCGCACAATGGGTGCATCCCAGCAAAATGTCAGTGACGTCGCGCAGCATGCCCGGCCAGAAAAATTGCAACCGCAACAACCCAATGGTCTTATGAACACCCAGGTGCAATAAACGCTCATGCGCCGCCCATACGGCCTTGCATCGCAAGGCGGATGACACGACGATTTTATGTTGACACGAGTCAGCATCCCAATGCATCAACAAGCCGTGCTTCATGACAAATGAATTAAATTTGCCCTGTCTTGGAACCGCATTATTCGCGTGGCGACGCAACCTCAATAACGACATGTCCTCGCTCTGGTGCCGACCCCATTCGGCCAAAGTTAGCCCCAGCAAATCGTCACTGGCCATTGGATCTGCATGATCCAACATCGGCGCTGAGGCGGCGGGAAGTGCGGCTGACACCGTTGTGAGAGGCGCGACCTGCGCAGGCAGTGGCGGCTTACAACGGCCCGAGCCCAAAAAACACGCACATTTTTGAGCCGGCGGGAGGCGAGACAACGCATCGGCATTCGTGTGTTGTGCACCCCTACGGTAAGTGACATTGAAATCGTAGTCCTGAAGGACTTCGAGCCATCAAGAAAGCTGTCCGGACGGTTGGTCAACCCGCAGAGCGTACTGTAAAGCCGAATGATCAGATCGCACGGTAAAATGCTGACCATACAGGTACGGCCTGTATTGCTGAATAACAAAAAAACAATGGCCAGCAGCTCACGTCTGGTCACACAGTATCTTTGTTCAGCAAGAGACAAGACTCTGCTACCATAGGCAACAACCCTTTCAATGCCATCAACTTTTTGGGACAGAACACCCCCAATCCCCGTATTGCTAGCGTCGGTGTCCAACACGAATGGCACGGAAAAATTGGGGTACGCAAGGGACGGTGCCGTCACGAGCGCGTTCCGCAAGGAGTCGAACGCAGCCTGTTCTGCGTCCCCCCAATGAAACACCACCCCTTTTGACGTAAGGGCATGGAGCGGCTTGGCAATCGTCGCGAAGCCAGCAACAAACCGGCGGTAGTACGACGCAAAACCAATAAAACTGCAAACATCGCCCGCAGATGTAGGGGTCGGCCAATGTTGAACACATTTGTTTTTTTCAGGGTCGGTAGAGATACCCGAGCGGCTAACTATGTGGCCCAGATAGCGCACAGACTCACGCAGAAGGTGACACTTCTGCGGCTTGAATTTCAAGTTAGCGGCCCGCATTTTCAAGAAGACAGCACGCAACCGTTCCATGTGTTCGCCGAACGTGCGGCTAAAGACGATGACGTCGTCAAGATAAATGAGACATGAGTCCCACTGGAGCTCAGCGAGGACCAGCTCCATGAGCCTCTGGAACGTCGCTGGGGCCGAGTGGAGACCCATGGGCAATCTATTAAACTCGAAAAGGCCCTGTGGTGTCCGAAAAGCAGTCTTAGGTTTTGACAATTCGTCGAGGGGGAGTTTCCAAAACCCCGACAGAAGGTCCAAGGTGGAGAAAGTGCGCCCCTGCCAGGGCATCCAATGACTCGTCCATACGAGGGAGAGGGTAGGCGTCCGCTACCGAGATTTTTAGGCACCGAAAATCAACGCAAAAACGGAGACTGCCATCGTGCTTTTTGACCAGCACTATTGGAGCACCCCAGGGACTAGTGGAGGGAGAAATTATATCGGCCTCCAGCATGTCATCCACAGCCGATTTAACATGCTGTTTCTCTGCCGGGCTAAGCCGAAACGGGTTTTGTCGAATCGGGGCAGCGTCACCAGTATCAATGTGGTGACGCAGCAGCTTGGTGCAGCCAATATCAAATTTAGATTTACTGAAGACATCGGAAAATTCTCACAGAAGAGCGCGCAATTTAATTCGCTGCGAATGAGACAGATCACCCGTGTCTGTGCAGAGCGCGTCCAACCATCTCTCATCCGATTCGGAAGGAGGTGGGACCTGCGGTGTGTCATGCACGTGTCCCGCGACTCCGGTCCCCAACGGCACCGGGGTCGCGTGAGCGAGCACAGTTCCTTGCGGAATGACGGTTGTGGACAATCCGACATTCAAAACCTGCAAGAACGGCTCCCTGTCGGCTGCTACGAGGGTCTGTGCAGCCACCAAATCTAACCCCTTAGCAGCTGCGTTTGAAGGCCCCAGCAAAATGCCATGTGCCGAGGCCTCCGGGGCTAGCGTTTTTTTAAGTTGCAAGGGCACGAGCATTTGTGTCCCTGGCGGAATGTGGACTGTGCTCGCGACAAACGCCTGCACCGAGGCACTAGCCATGCGCGGATGTGAGGGTGTGGGCAAGAACGCCATCCGTCGACCCGACGGGAGTTCGATGCAGCCTTGATCTACAAGGATCTTAATAGGCATTTTCGCGAGAAAATCAGTGCCTAACAAACACGGCACGGCGAGGGAAGAAGAGACCAAAATAGGCCCTGCCAATTTAATGTCTCCAATCGAAATTTGCGCCCGAATTTGCCCAATAATGCCCAGTGAACTGCCATTAGCGGCGAAACACGGGATAGAAACCCGTTCCAAGGGGCGGCATCGTACGGGCAGTATATTGTAAATCAAATCCGAAATGATCGTAACCGACGCACCAGTATCGACCAACACGCGAAATTCCACACCCTCGATTGATCCGACAACCACGGACGAACCTGCCGTCGCCGCGACTACCCTATGGGCCAACTCAGACCACTGCCCAGGTCCAAGTGGCCGCGAACAAACGCCAGAATACCCCCCATCACACGCCGAATAGCGAGCCCTTCTTATGGTGCGTTGCAGTGTGTATGGTGTGAATGAGGGCCGAGCGTGAGAGGCGTCGCGACTTGCCTGGTTTTGCCGCGATGCCGTGGACGTCCTGTAGTCCTGGCCCCGGAATGCGGAAGGGCGTCGTCGAGGCGCACGGCAGTCAGAGAAGATGCGGCCTCGTCGGCCACAGTTGAAGCACGTCACGTCGCCGCGTGGAGAAGGCCGTCCCCGCTGCTGGTCGTTGCGGCGACCAGCGTGGTCGGACGGTCGCCGGCCCGTTGACCTGGTCGCCATGAAGGCCCGGTCGGGGGAGAACTCGGCGTCCCTGCTGGCAGGCTCCGACGTCGAAGCCGAGGTGGCGATGGTCGATTCCATGTGGAGCAGCAGATGTGCGTGGATGCACCGAGCGGCTCGTAGCGAGCACATACTGTCGTCCACTGCTTGGATGACGATGCGCAGCTCGTGCGCCAGCTCCAGCATCTTCTGGAGAACGATGGCGTCGATGGCCTCGTCGTCCATGCGAGGGTAACCCGCTCTTGCCATCACCAGTAGAGCGGTCCGGAATGCCAACGGAGACTCTTTAGGGCGGCGTCGCCTGTCGTAAAATCGGATGGAGGCCCGTAGACGTCGGACATCCGTCGGAGGGCCGATTGAAGAGTCGCCCTTTGTTGCCTGGGGATGGTGAGGAGCGAGGCGAGAGCGTCGTCATCCAAAGTGGCCGGTAGTGCTCGGAGCGCCTGTGCGTCCGACCAGCCCACCATCTCTTGGTGGCTCAGGAAGCGACGCTGGAACGCCGCCCAGTCGCCCTCTTCAGATACGAATTCCCGGAAGATGGGCAGGCGTTGTTGGAGGGCGGACGTCGTCTCCTCCTCAGCTGGCAGCGTCTTGAACCGGAGATCGGTGATTTCCCGGCCAACAGGGTCTACTGTACCATGTCGGTACAGTGATAATGCGGCGTCCGCTGAGGAACTTGAATTTTTAGCGTCGCGTGCTGATGACGTTGCGGGTTGTGATTGCCCCCCCGCGTTCCCAGCATGCCCCTGGCTTCCGCTTCCAGCGGGATCACATGGTTCCCTGGCGGGAAAATCAAAATGTCCGCCTTGGCCGATGGCGGGAACGTCTGCCGGCAGTTGACTCGGCCTGCCCGCAACCTCCAAGTTGATCTCTTCGAGAATGGAGGACGCGGCGTGTAGGAGTTGGGCTAGACGGCCGTGTGCTGCCCTGAGTCCGTCCCCCATGGCAGGAGGAGCAACCGGCTGCACAACCGGTGGCTGGGCGGCGGACAACGCGGCAGAATTTTCAGCGGAGCTGGCGGTGCTCGCAGGTGAGACACCATTATCTTCGTTCTGGCTCCGCGCGTGGGCTGAACTTCTTGTTTCCATTTTCAACCACTTCTGACTCCAGTTGTAGTGTTGTAAGGACGAGCAGAATTATTTAGGAAGTCACACTCTGTTTATTGTATTACAACGCTTAACACACACAGAGGGATATTCGGTCCCCTCACCCGATACCCTAGGGAGGTACAGCCTCCGGACCTGGCGGGACTCACACGTCTACGGCTAACCTCCTTGATACCTAAGGAGGTACAACCTCCGGACTTGGCGGGACTCACACGTCTACCGCTATCCTAGTCCTCCGGCTAGGACCTAGGGGAGGCTATCTGACCCACCGCTGGCCCGGTGGGTCCTGACCACTGGGTATGCCGAGCCTTAGCCCTTAGAAGGGCTGAAAGGCTGGTCCAGGGTCCTAGCTAGGCTTCAGCCCAGTCTTCTATCTTCGTGCAGGGAGAGAACTCCCCGAGGTCCGTTGGGTCACCCGTCTTATACCCCTTCGTGGCCAGGTAGAACCAATCATACATTCCCACGTGGAACCGTCTGATTGGTTCGCACCAAACCCTGGCCACGATCCGTTTCACCTCGACTGACCCCAACCGTTGTACCCAGGGTAATGCTGCACTGCCCTGGTGGCAATGCAGGTTACGCAACAGCGCGTAGTTAACACCTCTACACAAACTCCACTCATACCCTGCAGGACAGGGAGAGATCATACAAACTCCACTCACTCACACCTTGTAGGACAGGGGGAGATCATACAAACTCCACTCACTCATACCCTGCAGGACAGGGAGAGATCATACAAACTCCACTGACTCACACCCTGCAGGACAGGGAGAGATCATACAAACTCCACTCACTCACACCCTGCAGGACAGGGGGAGATCATACAAACTCCACTCACACCCTGCAGGACAGGGGGAGATCATACAAACTCCACTCACTCACACCCTGCAGGACAGGGGGAGATCATACAAACTCCACTCACTCACACCCTGCAGTACCGGGAGAGATCATACAAACTCCACTCACCCTGCAGAACAGGGGAAGATCATACAAATCCACTCACTCATACCCTGCAGGACAGAGGGAGATCATACAAACTCCACTCACTCACACCTTGTAGGACAGGGGGAGATCATACAAACTCCACTCACTCATACCCTGCAGGACAGGGAGAGATCATACAAACTCCACTCACTCACACCCTGCAGGACAGGGAGAGATCATACAAACTCCACTCACTCACACCCTGCAGGACAGGGGGAGATCATACAAACTCCACTCACTCACACCCTGCAGTACCGGGAGAGATCATACAAACTCCACTCACTCACCCTGCAGAACAGGAGAAGATCATACAAACTCCACTCACTCATACCCTGCAGGACAGGGGGAGATCATACATACTCCACTCACTCACACCCTGCAGTACCGGGAGAGATCATACAAACTCCACTCACTCACCCTGCAGAACAGGGGAAGATCATACAAACTCCACTCACTCACCCTGCAGAACAGGGGAAGATCATACAAACTCCACTCACTCACACCCTGCAGGACAGGGGGAGATCATACAAACTCCACTCATTCACACTCTGTAGAACAGGGAGAGATCATACAAACTCCACTCACTCACACCCGGCCTGGCGTGGTGCTGACCACCCACCCCCTCGTGTACAGTGCCGGTCTACATAGGTGCTGCTCGCCAACAGCACTTGCCCCCACAAGTATGTTAAGGCTACGCGGGGGACCTTTGTGCGCGTCTTATTTGTTAAGTAAGTAAGTTAATTTATAAAAGCGCAACTCTCATATCCAAGCGCGCAAACTGTCTGTGTGTGCATTGCTTGTGACTATTCGGTGGGGATGCAACGGCGGTCTGCCATCGTGCTGGCCACCCACCACCCCCTCGTGTGCCGTGCCGGCCTTCGTAGGTGCTCGCTGCTCGCTAGCCGCACTTGCCCCAGCAGTCCGTCGTGGCTCCACGGGGAACCTTTTTGACTTTGTGGAACGCGTGTCGCAGAGTCTGCACGACGACGAGACGCCGTGGACGACACGCTACGGCTGCATCGCGGGACTCGCCGAGCTCGGCTTCGACGTGAGCCTCTCCCCGCTCAACTCCCCTGCCCCCCCAACCCCCCCCAACCCGCCGCCTCTGCTCCCCTTCGCGACGGCCAGAAGCAATCGGGCTGGCTGTAGCCGGCCAGCGGCACGTCGTCGCACTGACCCCGTTTCTGATGCTGCACCACCGATTAGCGCGTTGTGACAGAAGTTCAACATGCATGCATACAACTATACACTACTATACACTATACTACTATACACTACACTACTTTACACTACACCACTATCCACTACACTATTTTACACCACTACTATACACTACACTACTATACACTATACTACTATACACTACACTACTTTACACTACACCACTATCCACTACACTAGTTTACACCACTACTATACACTACACTCCTATACACTACACTACTATACACTATACTACTATACACTACACCACTATCCACTACACTATTTTACACCACTACTATACACTACACTACTATACAATACACTGTGTGTGTGCGTATGTGTATCGTGTTGTGTGTGTGTGTATGTGTATCGTGTGTGTGCATGTGTATCGTGTGCATGTGTGCATGTGTATCGTGTGTGTGCGTATGTGTGTGTGTTGTGTATCGTGTGTGTGTTTTGTGTGTGTGTTGTGTATCGTGTGTGTTGTGTGTGTATCGTGTGTGTGTATGTGTATCGTGTGTGTTGTGTGTGTATAGTGTGTGTTTTGTGTGTGTGTGTATCGTGTGTGTTGTGTGTATAGTGTGTGTGTTTTGTGTGTATGTGTATCGTGTGTGTTGTGTGTTTATCGTGTGTGTTGTGTATGTATGTGTGTGTTGTGTATGTATGTGTGTGTGTTGTGTGTGTGTGTTGTGTATGTGTGTTGTGTGTTGTGTGTATGTGTGTTGTGTGTGTGTTGTGTAAATGTGGAGCGGTGGTTTCGCGGTTCGCGCGCTACTCTACGAACCCGGCGACCCAACTTCGATTCCCGTTCACAGCCAACACGGGTGACGATTATTTGAACCGATCCTAGGCCTCGCCTAGACTGTCTCAGCCTCAATTGAGTACCTGGTGCGCTGTGTGGTCAACATCGCCACTGGGGATACGAGGGCAGCCGGGCGCGGTGCTGATCTCCCACCCCATCGTGCGCCGTGCCGACCTTCGCTGGCGCCCGCTGCTCGCTCACAGCGCTTGCCCCAACGGCCTCTCTGTCTGCGCGCGTAGGTGATTAAGACGCTCGTCATCCCGCGCCTCCCCGCCGAGGGCGACCGCATCCGGCAGGTGCTGGAGGGCCCGGTGATCAGCAACATCGACAAGATCGGGGCACAGCACGTGCAGACGCTGCTACTGGTCAGCCGAGCGCTCGCTCCGCAAGATTGCGCGCGTGTGCGCGTGGCGGCGGTGGTGTGGGGGGGGTAGTGGATGATGATGGTGGTGGTGGTGGTGTGGTGTTGGCGGTATAGCGGTGTGGCTGCGGGGTGCTGCGGCGGCGGTGACACGTCTGCGCTTTGTGATCAACAGAAGCACTGCGCGCCCGTGCTGGTGAAGCTTCGTCCGGGCCCCGACAGCGCGGAGGCCTACAAGGCGGATTATGGGCACCTGGGCCCCCTGCTGTGCACCCACGTCACCAAGGCCCGCGTGCAGGTCAGCTCCTCCTCCTCTTCACCCACCGCTCAGGGCCTGCAGCTCAACCGCTCCACGCTCACCTTCACTCACCCGCAGGTGAGCGGCTTCAGACTCGCCACCGTCACCTCAGTCGCCCCGTCGTAAACCCAGCAACCGCTCCGCGCGCTCTCACCTTCACTCGCCCGCGGGTGGCTTTGGCTCACCGCCATTGCGTTCACGGCGCTTGTACCCGCCTGAGGCCCACCGCCTCTTCACGCCTTCACTCGCCTGCAAGTCATGACGCTGCATCGACGATGACGCTGACGGATTTCGTTTGATCGCGATGATGTTATCGACGACGGTGGATGAGTGACGACGGCTTTGCCGACGTCGCTGCTGTGCCCACCCCCCCAGGTGCGTGGCGCCATCGGTGCCCCTCACTCTCTCGCGAGCCCCCAGACGGCGCTGCCCACCCGCTCCTCCACCATCATCAAGGTGCCAGGCTCGGGGGGGGGGCTCTATTCCACGTCCATGCCGGGGGGGAGCGACGCGTCTGGGCTGCCCCCCAAGTTCATCGTTGTGTCGGCCCCCACCGGCCCCACACAGGTGATCTCACACTCACAGACACACGTGCGCGCACAGACACACAGACACACAGACACACGTGCGCGCACAGACAACACAGGCAAAATCCCCTTTATAGCCTTAACAGATTATTGAGGCAAACGCTGTTGGCGAGCAGCACCTATGAAGGCTGGCACGGCACACGAGGGGGTGGGTGGCCAGCACCACGCCCGGCCGCCTCTGTCTCCCCAGTGGCGATGTTTACTACACCACCGCACAAGCTACTCATTTGAGGCTGAGTCGACCTAGGGGAGGGCCCAGGACCAGTTCAAATATTCGACAGTAAGCGGGACTCTCGCTCGTACACACAAAGACAAAGATCCCCCGTAATAGCCTTAAGAGACTATTGGGCCAAGTGCTGTTAGCACACGTGCACGCAAACACACACGATAATGTTGATGTTGCTGCTGCTATTGGTAATGGATAAATTAGGATGATGGCAATGTATTGAAGATGACAGAATAATGACGATGTTGATGATGTTGCTATGCGCACAAAACACAAAGACAGCGATCTCCCGTGTAGCATTAATAGACTGTTGGGGCAAGTGCTGTTAGCGAGCACCCACACAGACAAACGCACCGCCCTCCTCCACCACCACCACCACCACGAGAAAACCTCCAGACTTCTCCCACGCAGATCCTACCGATGTCCTCCTCCACCTCGTCACCCTCCACCTCGTCATCCGCCACCGCCTCGTTGTCTTCATCGTTGTCGGCGACGATGGCGACGACCGGCACGCCCACCGTGGTGAAGCTGCTCGCGCCAAGCCAGAAGCTGGCACCGGGCATCACCGTCTCGGTGCTGCCCTCCTCCTCGTCCTCCTCGTCCTCCTCATCGTCGTCGTCGTCATCCTCCTCGTCGCTCGACGTGACCGGCAAGCCGGCGGCGCCGGCGCCGGCGCCCGTGGGGGCGTCGTCCTCGCCGGGCGGCGTCACGGCAAGGAGCAGCAGCGTGCCGCAGCTCATCGCCGTCAAGCAGGAGGGCGCCGACGGCCAGGCCATGGTGGTGCTGCGCAAGCCAGGCGCGCCGGGGGCAGGAGGCGGAGCCGGCGCTACGAGCAGTGCGGTGACGGTGACGGTGGCGGGGGCGACGGCCGCCGCCGGCGGCGGCGGTGGGGGCACGGGCTCGGGGACGGCGCCTGGTGGGACGGGCTCCGCTGTGCCTAAACCGGAGCCCGGGACGACGGGCTCGGCTTAGCCCCGGGCCACGGCGGTGGTGGCGGCGGCGGCGGCGGCGGCGGTGGCGGTGGTGGCAGGGGAGTCGAGATGATAGTGATGGTGTCTGGATAGTAGTGTTGAACTCTCTAGAGCAGTGGATTTACACCCCCCACCCACCTGCCGATGCTATTACGCACCGCCTGCACACCCAGTCCATAGCTACGCGCTCTGCTGCCTCCCCCGCCATGAGGTTGGTACTGCTGCTTCACACGGCCGCGCGTATGTACGTGCGTATGTGGAAACTGTACACGTGTGTGCGTGTGGACGTTGACATTATTTAGCGCCGTACGTGGCCAACGGTGCTCAACGGAGGTGCGGGGAAGTGGCCGTGGGCCAGTCTGCGATCAATTGACTGTGGCTTTAGCGGGAATCCTATGGAGTTGGCGCATTCGCTAAAAAAACACAAAACTGTTTTACCTTTTTTATTTCACCAGGAAAGGCCCCACTTGAGCTGTGTAGCGCTTTCTCAGAAGCGACCCAGCGGCAAGTGATAGCTCAGCAAAGTGGCTTACCGCGTGGACATTTCTAGCAGCCATATACTCCAAACGCGGAACGTTCATTCTAAATGTGGAGGGAAAAAAGCGGAGGATGCGGAGAAAAATCTTCGTGACGACGGGGAGAGAGAGAGACAGAGACGCTAACTCCAAATATACAGCAGCAGCGCAGACGTCGTCAGGGTTGGGATCGAACCCGCAACCTCCTGCATACCAGGCGAGGCTGGATTAAAATCTTGCCACTGTGGTGCCATTGTTGATAAATTAATTGCGTCACAGGTGGAGCTGTCTGTGTTTCAATGTTGGGGGGGGGGGGGGGGGTGGTTGTTAAATGTTCCAAGGATAAATCACGGGCACAGTGGGTGCAGAGCACGTCGAACGGGGGTGACAGAGCGATGGAAACGGCACGCGGGTTGGTTGCCCGGTGGCGAGGCCTTCATCCAGCGGTGAATTGATCACGGCTGAGGATAATGGCAATGACGACAAATATTTGACATGTACGTTGAGCCTCTTCCGCGCGGGACGTAGACCAACCGCGCTCATCGGAGGTGCGGGGGAAGGACAACAGAGGACGACATTTTCACGCGTGTGGCGACGAGAGGTTGTTTGTTAAAAAGTGCAAATTGTGGGGAATGTTTTTTAAACGATTGTGGAGTTTTAGGAGCAGTGGTTTAGGATCACGGGAAATGACGCACGCCTCCCGGGGGCCCGGAGGGATCCCACCGCGCTGTATACGAGTGGGTGACAGTGAAAAGCGCCACACGGATGGATTCAAGAATTCCAAAATCTGTTACCGCAGATTGCGGAGCCGCCTGTGCAAGCACACCTCTGAGTTAGGGACCGTTTTTTAGGCGCAAAACAAAGTTATTTCCAGAAGCAACAATCCTTTGTGGTGTAGTCATAATAATAGTGATTATTTACGATCCTTGGTCTATCTGCTGCTAGATGAAGGCAGCGGCTTTTTTTAGCCATACTTCACCGCGCTGGTCAGTGCTGGCAGGAGAATGGCGAGGTGGGTTCCCGGGATCGGTTCGGATTTCTTCGCTCACCGTTGATGTTGGCCGGAGCCCGGGATTGAACTCGAGTCACCGGGTTCGGAGCGCGAGGCGCTAACCACCGCGCCACCGCTCTGTGTCTTGCGCGTAACGGGCACATGACGATCATGTGACGTTTTATTAAGGTTGTTTCTTTACACGCGCGGTGACGTTTCCGTTTGGAAGTCGGAATCGATTGTTTGTGATTGGTCGATTCATTTGAAACAGAGTCGATCTGGTTTTCGATGTGACCTGGTGTGGAGCACTTGTTATTCTCAAGTGCTTGTGTAGATGTTTACCTAATAAATTCCGTTAAATACGGCCAATAAAAGTGGAAAAAAAACACATCAGCAAGTGATGTTTTTACTGTCTGTTCAGTTTTATGATGATCCGATTTACGACAACGGCTTTTCCATGGATGCATTGTAACGTAACAGCGGGGGCCGCCTGTATTATGCAACTGGTGCATGCCGATGAAGTTGGTGGTGATGGGGGTGAAGGTGGTGATGATGGGAATGATGAAGATTGTGGATTCGTAAAGCCTTCGATGGCTGCACCAGAGGAATTTCCATCTGGTACAGATACAATTGGAGGCTGATCGATGCCCGGGTGCGGTCAAGGGATAGCTCCCTATTGGTCAACCATGTTATATATGCCGATGATCTGGTGATTGCTGCTCACTCGGAGGAGGAGTTGGAGGCGCTGCTGCTGAACCTGGAGCGTGCCACTAAAAAGTGGGGCCTTACCATCAGCCCCACCACAACTGAGCACCTGCCTGGGTATTTTGTACCATTAGACACTCCACCCCTACAACTCCCAAATGGTGATGGGGCATTTGTGGAGAGAGTGGAGAGTTTCCCATACCTGGGCAGTGTGCTCATGACCGGCTCCGGTTTGACAGCAGAGGTCTCGCTCCGAATCAGTCGAGCGGCATTATCTTTTCATCGGTTGCGAAATGCTGTGTGGAAGCTACTTTGTCTGTCGCTCTGCACGAAGCTTCAGGTCTTCTCGGCCACCGTCATTCCCTCCCTTCTCTACGCTTGCGAAACGTGGACGCCCCGAATGAAACATCTTCGCTGGTTAGAAATATTTAGGCTGGCCTGCCTACGATCCATCCTGTATTTAACCAAGCTGGATTGTGTGAGCTCACAAATTGTATCTCTGTTAGCGAGCGGTGCCTCTGAAGGGGCCGATGATAACTCGTTACGCTCCTTCCAACAAGCCAGCATCGGGCCTCAAGGTAAGTGAAAACACAACTTTTATTTTCTATTCATATTACTTTATTTTATGTTTTATTCACCATACAGTATTTATTACAGTGTTAAACATGCAAATGTACAATATGTATTCTTACAAGTCTAACAAGGTTCTCCATTTTCTGTTGAACCACGACACATTTCATCACGCTGACCATATGGGCATTTAATAATAATGCATTTATTTTATATGGCGCCTTTCTACTAAAATCACTGACCAGTGAAACGTATTCAATATGATAAATACTAAAACAAATTACGTACATTGTTGTGTTCCGACTTACGAACGGGTCTCGGGAACAAATTATGTTCAAAAGTCGATGACTCCCTGCACATTTAACTCAAATCCGGATGGGTGGGGGTCCGGACGGGTGGTGGCACGGATGGGTGGAGGTCCCGACGGGTGGTGGCACGAATGGGTGGGTGTCTGGACGGTTGGTGGCACGAACCACGTGTGCCATGTCGGCCTTAGGCGCTGCTCACTAATAGCAGCAAGCCAGCATCGAGACTCGAGGTAAGAAAAAACAAAACTTTAATTTTTCTAATCGCGTTACTTTCTTTTATCTTTTATTTACGATACAGAATTAGTACAGTATCAGGTGCAAATTTACAATATTTCTTATGGTTTTAACAAGTCTTCCCTTTGATGTTGAATCGTAACTAATTTAATGGGCATTTAAATACAGTACATTGTTGTGTTCTTACAAACCGTTCGAATTACGAACGGGTCTCAGGAAAGAATTGTGTTTCTAAGCCGAGGACTGCCTCTACATTTGTAGCGTCGGTGTGTGTGACTCTTCTGCTCGACGCTCGAGGCTTGTGTGTGAGTGCGGGTGGCGTGCGTCGCACACACACACTCAGTCGGAGACGAGGTCATCGCAGGAGGCATCGTCCTCCACCTTTTATTGTTGTTGCCGAGTTCACGCCACCAACTCCGGCCCCCTCTCTCACGCACGACCACGCTGCCGCACGACCCGGCCCAGACACGACCCTGTCCGCGTTGCGCCGACGGCGTCGAACCGAGACAGCCAACCGCTGTCCGGCCCCGCAATGATCGGGCAAAGGCGGCGGTGATGAAGGCGGTGATGACAGCGACGACGAGACGAGATCACTCCCAGAACTGGCAGCCCGGAGCTCTCGCTCTCCGCTGCTTTTGTTCCCCTCGGCGCGGCTTGGCTCCGCCCTAGCCGCGCCTCTTCCCTTCTCGAACCCTCCAGAGGGTTCCAGGGGCTTGCCCACGAGGTCTACAGTGACCCTTGCCCCAGTTCCTCCGCCCTGCCGGCACACACACACCGCGTGTATGCTCAGCGGCGTGTGCGCCAAGTGTCCACCTGCAGTTGCAGCTGCTGTACAGCAGTCAGCACTATTTTGATTTAAAGCTTTCGTGACTGCAGTGATTCATATTCTTGGTTCTTTCGGTAAAGTCACGTTGAAGGGAAACAATAAAATAATAAAATATATATAGTCAGCACTGTCACTACACATTTAACCCAGGCCTATCATCACCACCACTTATCACCACCATCATCACCACTACCACCAAGATCTTCACCACCATTACTATCACCACGAATATCACTATGATCACCAACATTATCACCACCACCAATATTAGATAATTATCACCAACACAATCATCACTATCACCACCACTATCATCACCACTATCATCAACACCACTATCACCACCACTATCATTACCACCACTATCACCAACATCACTATAATCACCACAACTATCACCACCATCACCACTATCACCACCACAATCACCACTATCATTACAACTACCATCACCACCACTAACACTATCACCACCACCCCTACCATTATCACCACCACCACGATAATCACAAACACTATCATCACCACCACTATCAACACCACCATTATTATCACCACTACCACCACAGATATCACCACCATTATCATCACCACCACTATCACCACCACTACCACTATCACCACCACGATTATCATCACCACCACTATCACCACCACCAATACCACAACCACCAATACCACAACAGATATCACCACCATTATCACCACCACATTCACCACTATCATTACCACAACTATCATCACCACCACTAATACTATCACCACCACTATCATCACCACCACGATCATCACCACCACGATCACTACCACCACGATCATCACCACCATCACTATTACCACCACTATCATTACCACCACGATCACCACTATCACTATCACCACCAACACTATCACAACCACCACTATCATCACCACTATCACCACGACCACCAACACTATCACCACCACCACGATCACCATCACTATCATCACCACTACTACCACTTTCACCACCACGATTATCAACAACAACAACCGCCATTCACCACTAAGTGGCGGTGACGTCACCACGACACTTGTGCCAGGCCATGTGCACCTTGAGGCCACGTGAAGTGTCGAACGCCCGCTGGCAGGTCACGGGGCAGACCCAGGTGCCACGGGTCGACTGACTGATATGACTGGCTGATGCACCACCTGTGCCCCCTACTGTGCCAACCTGCTGTGCTTTAGCCACCCGGCGCTCCGCTCGTTGTTGTGAGCGTCGCTCCTCCGCCCTCCGTTGTTGTTAGAGGGCGACTGCCTCCAACTGCCCAGTAGCATCCTTCACGAGCCTCCTCCACAGAGGCCGATCTTGACACCGCTGGTACCAGTCATCGGCAAGTCCACTCAGCTCCACGTCCTCCTGTACCACATCACTCCATCTCTTCTCTAGCCCGTACCGCGCCCGTTTACCCCCCTCAATCCGGCCGAACAAAAGCTGTTTCGGCATGCGGTGGCTGGGCATGCGGGCTACATGACCTAGCCAACGCAGCCTTGCCTGCCGGAGGAGCTCACCGATGGGACCTTTCCCAGATCTTTCAAGGATTTGTGAGCTCCTCACACAATCCAGCCTGGTTAAACCCAGGATGGATCGTAGGCAGGCCAGCCTAAATGTTTCTAACCGGCGAAGATGTTCCATTAGGGGGGTCCACGTTTCGCAAGCGTAGAGAAGGGAGGGAATGACCGTGGCCGAGAAGACCTGAAGCTTAGTGCGGAGTGACAGACCAGGTAGCTTCCACACAGCGTTACACAACCGATGAAAAGATTGCCGCTCGACTGATTCGGAGTGAGAACCTCTGCTATTAAACTGGAGCCGGTCATAAGCACACTGCCCAGGTATGGGAAACTCTCCACTCTCTCCACAACTGCCCCATCACCGATTGGGAGTTGTGGGGGTGGAGTGTCCGATGGTACAAAATACCCAGGCAGGTGCTTAGTTTCGGTGGGGCTGATGGTAAGGCCCCATCTCTTAGTAGCACGCTCCAGTCTCATCACCACCACTATCACCACTACCACCACCAATATCATCACCACCACTATCCCCACCACCATCTCTATCACCACCACGACCACCATCACTATCACCACCACGACCACCACCACTATCACCACGACCACCACCAACAACAACCGCCATTCGCCACTAAGTGGCGGTGACGTCACCACGACGACTATCAACA